AGATCCCGTTGAAGCCTCTCTGCTGCTAGATTAGTATCTGCTACACCACCCACCTTGGTGTCATCTGTTAATTTAACCAATTTACTGTATTGGTGTCAATATCAATAAATTAGGAACAATAGTCGTCCTAAAAGTTAACCCTGCAGTACCCTACTATGAACACAGGCCCACTGGGACATGGTGCCTCTAATAACTACCGCTTCCTGTCTGTTAACCAGTTTTCGATCCAAGCTACTACAGTAATAGTGTATTAGATTTACACAAATTCCTATAGTTGCCTATAGTTGGCATAATTTATCATTATACCATTCTCTATAACTGTTTTAAAACAATTTGGTTGTCACAATCAGGACAACTCAAAACCTCATGTCATATTTTATCTTGTCCTACATATAAATTTTAGAATATTGTGATACATATTGATATTTTGAAAACCTAGAAACAAAAGTTTTGTTGGCATTTTCTAATGTTACACCCTATGATGATAAAGTTTGTTTTTATATGATTAGTTTATTAAAATCAAATTCCAGTTTGCAGTCTTTTAATTTTTTTTGTGTTTTTCCATGTTGGGAATCTGTTTAAAGGCAATTCTAAGAGAATATTGAACACTGAAGTAATGAAATACTGATATGAATTGTATTGTGATAATTATCAGTACTTGATATGAAAAAAATTACCATCATATTTGCAGTTCATGTGTGTTCTCTGGGATGTGAAATTATATTGTGTATTGTTAGCTCAATGCTGTACTTGTTGAGCTACAGGAGCTAAGCTACCCTCAAAGGCAGGGTGTCATGTACACTCATGTACGTTCAAAAACATGTGGTCTCTCATTGAAAACTCCACCCTAGAGCTGCACCTCTATGGAATCTGGTAATGAACCAGAAACAGCTGTTTGATTTAGCGACTTACCTGGAATGAGACAATCTTTACGGCAATCATACAGCATCCCCAGCTGGAAGGGTCTTCCAAGGGCTGCCACCTCCAGAGGCGTCTGTGAGTCAGCTTCCATGATTTGAGTTCTAAAATCTAAAAATGCAGGTGTATATGCTATGATTAATTCATAATTGTGTGAATGTCACAAATTACATAAAATACTAAATTATATAGTTTAAAATGAATAATTCTGAATTGAGCTTTGGAGACATACGAGCAACATTTAGGAAAATAAAGAAATCATTTTAAAAATTGTATTAATAACAGCTTGAACCCAGGTCCCAGAGGTGTGTGCAACAGTGCTAACCACTGCACCACCGTGCCGCCCCCATCATCATCATCATCATCATCCTCCATCCTCCATCCAACCATTTTCCGCCACTTATCCAGTCTCAGGTTTTGGGGGCAACAGTTTAAGCAGGGATGCCCAGACCTCACCAGACACATCCTCCAGCTCCTCTGGGAGAATACCAAGGCGTTCCCAGATATAATCTCTCCAGTATGTCCTGGGTCTGCCCCAGGGCCTCCTCCTGGTTGGATATGTCCAAAATACCTCCCCAGGGAGCTGTCCAGGAGGTATATCCTAGATAGATGCCCAACCAGCTCAACTGGCTCCATTCTATGTGGAAGAGCAGTGGCTCTACTTTGAGCCCCCCCCCCCCCGAATGTCTGTGCTCCTCACGCTATCTAAGGCTGAGCCCAGACACCCTGTGGAGAAAACTCATTTCTGCCACTAGTATCCGTGATCACATTCTTTCAGTCACTACCGAGAGCACCACAGAACGGTACAGCGTCCGCGTTACTGCCGACACTGCATTACTGGCAACACTGCATTACTGCCGACACTGCATCACTGCCGACACTGCATCACTGCCGACACTGCATCACTGCCGACACTGCACCAATCCGTTTGTCGATCTCCTGCTCCCTTTTTCCCTCACTCGTGAAGTGAGCCACTCAAACTCCTCCACCTGAGGTATCAACTCATCCCCCATAAAGAGAAGACAACCCACCCTGGACCTCTGTGATCCTAGGAATTATGTTGTAGGGGGCAAGTGCCCCTGGTAGGGTCTCCCAAGGCAAGCTGGTCCTAGGTGAGAGGCCAGACTAAGTGCGGTTCACAGAAACACCTATGAGGATCAACAATAATGACCATGTTACCCCACCCTGATGGGGGAGGCGGGGGCCGCACCCTGGAGCAACGAAATATACATTTTAACAAGGAGCTTTAATAAGAAAAAGGTAACATCCCTCCTCCACTTTCACAGGCGGCTACAAACACTCCGCAGAATAATATCTGATAGGACAAATGAAATAAACGTGATTGGCAGATTCAGATGGCACAGGCTAAAGTTGACCAACTGGGTGGGCAGAACCCACCCCTGCCCACTTCTAGATCCAGCCGCGCTGGAACTTCCACATAATGAGAGCTGGTGCTTGTAGTCAACCAATCAGGTTGTTGCAAGCACCTCCCAAATAGTTTGTGCTCAAACAAGAAGTACTGTAGGGACTAAGAAGGGTTTTTCCGAGGAACTACAGTCAGACCGAGTTCCTGTGAGGGGACACGACAAAGTTCCTGGTTCCGAAAAAAGGTTCTTTAAGTGGGACAACATTTAATAATAGATTTATTACAAAATATCAGCCATTTGATTGGGTGGGCCGAAGGCAAAATTATTACGTTATTGCCAATAAGGGTAGTTATTACCTTATTGGCTGCTACAGGGGCTACTCCACAAAGTAAGTTTATACAGTTATACAGGTGACTTTAAATGTTTCTTCAAAGTATGTTGTCAGGAAACCTGATTCCTGGCCACATATCAATGTCCATGTACCATGGACATTGATAGGGATTGATAGGGATCCAGGACCATAGAACAGCGTCCACTGGTCCTTTGGGAAGTTCTATGGATCCCTATCGAGTCCAGCTGCTTTCAATTTAAGCAGATAATCATTTGGTTCCCCAAAGAAAATAACCCATGTTGCAGTGTGTTTTGCCACTCAGTACGTCTGGGGGCAAGAGGATCTGGCAGCAGAACACTGAGCGACGACCACCACTAAGGGGGATCTCCACTGTGTGGCCAGAAAACAGTACATCTCCACACCTGTCTGGTTGTTAATAGGGCTGTCGCGGTTAGGAAATTTCCCTTGCGGTTTTTATGGGTGGCTCAATAGCGCGGTATGCGGTATTACCGCCGTTTAAAAATAAATAAATAAATAAAAATCTTGATTTTACTGCATACAAAGCTCTATTGCTGAGTTATGTAGCATATATTGTTGCTTTTTAACTGACAGAGACACAAAACATTTTTTGTTTATTTTTTTAATGCCAAACAGCAATAAGAACATGCCTTTTCCAATTTAAAAAACGAAATCAAATCATTCTAAATGTAACCTTGGGCTACAAGGTTACGCAAGAACCAGACTACGCCACCCAAGGCCCTGCCCCTTAGGATGTATCATTAACCCCCAGAACTTCCACCCGCAGCCACCTTGCATGAACACAGAGACGCATATCCCAGAATTAAAACAGTTTATTACAATATTTAAAACCTCCAAGCCGATAAACAATTATCTGCATACAACACCACTACAACCAGAACATGACAAAATAGGGGTTAAGAGCAAAACCCAGGCACTGGTGGTCCAACGCTATAATCCTGCCTTGACCCCTTAGCCAGCCAGGGAAGGTGCTTACCTGGAGGAAAAGGAAAAGAGGAAACCCCACA